GGGGGGGGGGGAGGTGTGTGCTCTGAGCTGTACTAGCAATTTTAAAGCGTAATCTAGTACCAATTGCTGGTCATAGGCCTCTTCAATGAGGTGTCTTGCCCCTGGGTGAACACCCAACTGTTTGGGGCATACACTCACCTCTTACGCTCGCCAACACTTTAGGACTTTTTGTGCGTACCTTGCCCCGAGGCGCCCCAGAAATGCCTTTCAAAACAATTGCTTCATTTGTTTGGCTACGGGAAATCCCATTGATTCATTTTTGTGCATTTGTCAAGAAATGTTTCTGACCTACTTAATTATCCATTATTGAATCTAATCTAAATATTGTTACTCTATTTTATCCCTCCACAGGTTTTGCATCATCTGTACGATCAGGACATTATACAAGAAGAAGCAATACTTGACTGGGCTTCTGAAAAGGAAGAAGCAGAGGAGTCAGATAAGGTTTTTGTCAAGCAATCGGAAAAATTTATCCAGGTACGTACTTACAGCACTTAAACCTTTGCAGGTCGAAGACCTGCCTGTAGTACACAGGAACCTAGAAGATTCATTGATCTACTTACCCTATCTTGTCATTCCATCCCAACCTCTCCCCGCCCCCTGATCCCCAATGCTCAGGAAAAAAGATTTAGGAATTAGCGTAAACAATGAAAAGGGAAGAAAAGCAAAGTTCGTCTTTTTAATATTGCCTGCGTTACGGTCATGCTTGAATCATGCATGCACATTATGAATTCTAAAAATATTTGCAGTGGCTCAAAGAAGCATCTGAAGAAGAGGATGAGGACTGACACAGTAGTAGAGACCGTATATTTAAAGCTGCTCCAGCTACCTGTAGCTACCTCACAGTTTGCCCTTGGATGAACATGTTAATCACCATTCAGAAACCTGCAACAGCTGAGAATCAAACCTTAATCCCTTTGTCCGTTCCATAACCTAAATGTGTCATTTATATACATTTTTCATCACTTGTATAATCATTGACTTCGAGATAATTCATCTACAGTTGGAACTGACTTCCAATTTAGTCTGTAGTCTCTTCTGCTGCAATTGGAGAGGCAAGTTTTGTTTCAATAGAATTTTTGATCTGAGGAAACACTTCACATGTCAACTGTGTGTGGAAATGTTATATAGTGAAGGGTTACTGTTAGTTGAAGACATTGTTTCCTACTAGGTAAATGGCATTTCTATGCCATAAAACAACTCTTAGGCCTATATATTAATTTTCTCTGAAACGGCAAAACGGCTTGTATTGGAACTGTGATACCTCTTTGAGTCTTCTTGAGTATTTTATAAGAGCTTGCGTTATGTTGTTGCTGTTACATATTGTTTCCCTTTTCCTTTTTCTTTTCTGTTTATAGTTTCTTCATTTATCTTTTTCTGAAATCTTCATTACCATGCTAAACATTCCCTGGACTATTATAGTAGTTGAGTAGGAACAACTTCATTTATTTATTTTGTTGGTGTTTTCCACTGGCAGTGTCAATGTATTTTCACATAATCGGCACAATTTATTTCTGTTGAAGGTTTTTATCTTATTCAGGTTATTAATTTCAGTGGTATGTGTTGCTACTTTTAATTGCCTTTAAAGAGGAGTGATTTTGTAGAATATTTTACACTATCGATGAATAGAAGTTAAAGCATACTTTATTTATTGAGTGGGTGTGTTGGCGAACAAAAATGAGTAGTTTATATATATATATATATATATATATATAAGTGGGCAATAAGAAAGTGAGGTGGCACCTCTCTTAGGTTAAAATAGCACGGTCTAGCTAGTTTTCGGACTGGTCATTCAAAAATAGTTAACGTTTACCAAGTCAATGAAAAATAGCCACTATTTTACTGCAACAGAGATCGGTCCAGCATAATATACTAGAGTTCGGTGTACCTGTGTATGAACTTTCAGCATATTATGCTGGCCGATATACTTTGCTGGCTCTAGTATAATATACTGGAGCAGTGAGCACCGATGCTCTAAACTCCAGTATATTACGCCGGACCGGTATATTATACTGGAACTCCAGTATATTATGCTAGAGTATTTTTCCGGATTTTGAATAGTGTTTTCGTTCAGATTTATCTTTACATGAAAAGTGGCTAAATTTCGATTACTTTTGAAACTGTGGCTATTTTTGAATGACCACTTGTAAATCCGATTATTTTTGAATTTCTCCCCTCTCTTAGGCCAAGAAACATATTTACATCTTTTTTCTCCTTCTTGGGGGATTTTTCATCATTCTTTCAATTTATTTTATAATAATAATAAACAACTCTTTATCTTCGTAACTTTTACTTTTAATAGTCTCAATAACTCCAATCCCTTAACACTGCTCTAGCTTTAGCAATTGAATACCATTTCCATTTATCTTTGTTGTCCTTTATTTACTTTAAAATTTAAAATTTCATTTTCATAACTCATACTCCCTTAACTTCTACTTTTAATAATATTCATAACTCTCATGCTTTTCATATTTATAACCCCCACATATTTAATTTAAAAATTAAAATACCTTATGGTACTCATCTATTTTTTCCTATATAAATTCATAACATTATTTCATGAGACTCCTACCCAAGACTACCCTTTCTATTCTTTACTTGAAATAGTAATGCTGTAATATTTACTACAACATTTGATTCATGTTTTAGTTTGGCTCGAGGAAGAAGGCTCTTGAATAATGATCGATATTGCGGGAGGGGGTGTCGACAAGAACTCGAAAAATTATACATTGATTTTGTATTTCTATTTTCTTAAGATTAAGGTCTCAAGTTGTATCTTTTCTTCTCTATTTACTTTCTCGTGTGTTCTCTTTCGCTTTATTTTCTATGAACTTTTGTTTGTCGCAAGTTTGTATTTTCGTTTGGACTCAAATTAATTACTTATGAGTTAAATTTCGTTGGAAGTCTACTAACTACTAACCAATAACAACTCATTGTGTAGAAGGGATAAATTTTAAACATTCAAATACGCCATTCATTGGATATTTCAGCAACACTTCTTATTTCTTTTAGTCAGTAAAAAGTGTTTGGGCTAAAAGTCACAGAGCAGGCGCAAGTTCTTCTTTGCTGAGCCAAGGGCATGTTTGTTTCTTGTAAAATAGAAATTATTTTCTACTTGTGATTTTTATAAAATAAGTAGTAAATTGTCTTTCATTTTATTCGTATGATTGGATCATGTATTATATGTACGACAAAACCAAATAAAGTATTTGGTTTACTTTGTAACATTTGATTCTTTTTGAAGTAATGTGATAATTATCTTTCTTTTTGAAAGTTATGTTTTGATTTTCTTCTTTGAATTGCCTATTATTTGAGATAAAAACTTTTTTATTTTGCTGATAGGATAAAAATAATTGAGCAAGTATTCTGAAGTGAAGTACTCTATTCTCCTTGGAATGGAGAATTTGAGAGGGAAACTAATGAATAGAAAAGAAAAGACAAAGATGAAGGCTAAGAAGGGCCTAACGAGAAGGAATATAAAAAAGAATACGCCGCAATTTTCACATATTTCTTTTGTTTTGTTTTATTTTCTTTTCGTTATTAGTTTCTTTACTCTTATTTCATAATTCTTTTATTTGAATAGGAGAAATTTTAGCAAAGTCGATATTTTACTATCTAATTAAAAAATTTTCTATTTACATGCCTCTAACATATAATTGTACTTAAAGAGTCATGTATTAACCTCTCACTTCCTCCTCATTAATTATAATATATGTAAGTGAAATTTTTTTCTTAAAAATCCTTTCTCTTTTATTTCCTTTTATAAAAGAAAATCAGGAAAAAATACAGTTACCTAAAATTTAATTCTAATTAAAATGCTAGTATATGATTTATCAATATGTAGAATTATCTTTTATATCCATGTTAATTTAAAAAAATTATCTCTCTCATCCACTATATGTTGTTATTTTTCTTTTTTTAAAATTTAGAGATATTTCTTATAATCGCGTGAAGCGCGGAAAATTTCACTAGTTTGTATGATAAATCCGAGCCCTGCAAAGGAGAATCTATTTTTTACATCCTGCACGGACAATTCAATGACCGAATAGTTAAAGTGCAATGTGAAATGGCACAGAGCTTGAATCCATTGCTAAACCAGTTGAGTTTTCCTTACTTTTCTGTTAACTATTGTAAAAGAACATATTTCAGAAAGCATCAACTTCAGCTTTGAATGCAGATAGGAATAGGATGAGGTCGTCACTTTGTATGCCAGTTTAGTTTAAAAGAATACGTTACAGAATGACCATTTTTCATGTTTTAAGTATGTACATTATGGAATTTAATGCAAGGATTTTAAAATAATAAATCAGAGTCGAGGAGGCCCCATTGGTCCTGAACGCCCTTGTAAGCCCATTGGGCCTCTCCAACAACAGCAAAAGAAGTTAAGGCTGCACCAGTGTAAACAACACAGTTAGATAAAAATAGCACGGTATAGCCAGTTTTCGGAGTCATTCAAAAATAGTCGGCGTTTACGAAGTCAATGAAAAATAGCCACTATTTTGCTGCAACAGAGACCGGTCCAGCATAATATACTGGAGTTCGGTGCACCTGTGTATGAACTCCAGCATATTATGCCGGACCGATATACTCCTGCAAAAGCTGCTTAATCCAAGGAATGAGAGGATCAGATGATCTAAAATTGCTCTCGTCGCTTATGAATATGAAAGTCTTAAGTAACATTGTCTATCACTTCACTTTGTTCTAGAAATCTGATCTCGTTGGGTGGAGTGAGAGGAGAAAGAAGTAGAAAAACGCAAGTGAAATTAGATGAAAGAGAAAGCATGGTCAATGCCACTGTTTGTAGCATAATTAGCTTGAATATGCTTACCAACAGGTTAGGACAGGGTAACAACCCCCACATGCCTTGCCATGTCCAACCATTGTTGGCACTCCTGAGCCAGGTTTAGGCCTCAATTCTGGTAGCTTTCCAGGACTAGGTGCATGAGGAGGACCACCACGTCCATGGCTAAGCTGACCTTCGGTACCTCCAACAACAGGTAACTCTCCACGACTCGGTGAAGGCCCTATACCTCCAAGTTCCCCTGTCATGGCTGCAACTTCATGCATTTCTCCACCACCATGAAGTCCTTCTACGCCAAGTTGAGTCCCTTTGCCTTCATTTGTAGGTGTCCATCGGAGAATACGTGGAGCACCTCCACGTCCGCCACCCCCGAGTAGTCCTCCTGAGCCAAGTTGGGATGCAATGCCTCCACTTCCCAGTAGTCCTGCAGAGCCGAGAGGACCAAATCCAGATATAAATCCTCCATGTATTCCTCCACGTCCTCTTCCTGCCATTTTTTTTTTTTTTTAATTTTAATAGGGGAAAAGAGTAAAATCTGTTTGGTTTTATAGAAAGCCAATATAGACTAGTTATAGTTTTCCATAAGTTACACTCACTCTGCTCACCTAGGACTTAAAACTTTTGTCTGCCAATCTGTATTGCTACTAGTCAAAATGGTAAATACTGACCCCATCTTCCTTTCTTTTACGCATAAAAATTTGACAAAATTTTCTTGAAGTTTAGGTGACTAATTTCTTGGTTTACTCTCACATGTATGTTTATTACTTGGAGATGTCAATCTGCTCTTTCAGTCCTCCTCACGTTTATATTATTTGGTACAATTAGCAAGTTTGTATTCATCAAGCTATTCTTGAAAATAAATGACGAATCCGACTAAGTATTAAGACCAAAAATGGGACTAATAGGTGCAATTATTACCATTTTTGTCTTTTACGTGATCTAAAGCATATACAAGGGCATCATGAACTGCGATTTTTAAGAGCCAAAAGGAACTGTGTTGTATTTTAATACGAAAGAGAGAAGAAACAATATACTTTCACATACATTTTTCTCGCACAGAAGTAATCTAATATAGTAGTTGCGTGTGATGCTCCCTAAATATATTTCAAGATTGCCCTTTTATTTTCTTTTTAATGAATAAGTTAGAGGGTGGAAAGTTGCATTAAGGTTCATTTCGTCTTGCTACATCGTCAATGGTTGATAAGTATTTTCAGATTGAACCAACCTCAACAGGCTGGTGAAAGGGGCAATTTCCAGTTAGACTAGAAAGCAAATTTAATAATTTATGCTGAACCCAAAAAAAGAAAGGCAACATTTGTTGTTAGTATTACTGTTTTTTTTTTTTTTTTTTTTTTGCATATTTTGTAAAAAAGAGGTAGGAATTTGCCCTAGAGTTTACGACCAATGAGATTAAAGGACTACTTGGAAACCAATATTCTCAACCAGGGGCAGAAAAAGAATGAAAAACAACATTGAGGACCAAATCATTACAATGGGAGACATTTCGGACCTTTTTGATAATATACTCGTGATTTTTCTATACAGAAAGCGGATATGCCAAACAAACTTCCTTACACGATTCCAGCCAATCCAATAGTATCTCCTTCATCGGTCTTGGATTCAAAAGCGGGAGTTACATTTCGAGGTTTTGCTGAAGAATAAAAGTCAGAATCACCAGTTAATGAGCAGCTCAAAAACTAAATTCTTGGTTAGTATGCACAGGACAGGAGAAAAACACAAAGCATTAGATTGAAGTGCACTCACCCGAAACATTTGTGATGACATTAACGCTCTTTTGAGCAGCGAGAGCTTTTAATTTGTTTCCTGTTGCTAACAACAGGAAGCTCTTCATATGCTGTCTCTGCTCCTTGGGACTAAGAGTCTTGGTCAACGCTTCTTCAAAGGCTTGAAGATCTTGGGATGTAATGCAAGGGAGAGAAAGTAAAATCTGCAGCCGTTCAAATTTGTATGAGTTTTATCGAATAGCAGATAAAAGACGTGCATGCTTTCAGAAAGGTAAACTTCATTATGCTTGCTATTGAGGATAGAGCATAAAAACTTCACAACTAACAATGTAAGATAAGCTCAATTCCAATATATCAACAGAAAAAAAGAGAAAAGATAAGATGCAATTTTAAGAATGCCTGCAAATATATTGTTTAATGCAAGGGTGAGGCCTAGCGGTCAATGAAGTGGGTCGAGAACTATGAAGTCTCGGGTACAAATCCCAGCGGAGGCAAAAACACTAGGTGACTACTTCCCATCAATCCAAACCTTGGAGGACAGAATGCCAGTACATGTGATGGTGAGGGTAGCAGGTACCCCGTGAAATTAGTCGAGGTGTGTGCAATATGGTCCGGACAACAAGGTTATCAAAAAGAATACATGTATCTATGTAAACAGTAAGTATCTTGTGTTTCTTAATATGCTAGGGGTTAAACTTGCATGGCAATTGCCACCTTTTTGACTAATGCCATTTATCATTATTTATTTATATGAACTGTATCAAAATAATTTGTCATACCCAAAAGCTCTTGGCCTTTAAACAATATTATAGATATATATGAGGATTATTGCAAATAGATAAGCATAACCGCTGGAATTCTATTTTAAGAACATCAGACGAAAAGGAAGAAAAAAGAATTGCAATGAACATAGGTGTCAAGTGCTACAGCTAAATCTGATGCTATAAGCAACTGAAAAGAGTGGGATCCGAATAACCTGCTGCGGTGCTGGGTGTCTATCAGCAAGATAAATGAAAATTTCGCGACAAAGACCAACTAAATCAGCACTGATGAAAGCATTTGACTCCAGAGCCAAAGCTTGTATTATAGCAGGGAACAAATCTTTACAAACAAAATCCCGAAGCTCCGCATTAGCTGTTGAAATGGCCAAGAGGATTACAGCTCCACAGAATGTAGAAACTTTAGTTACAGCTTCACCATCTGTCCATCTCAGAGCCTCTAAACTGATCTGCAAGGCTGGAAGTGCTATGCTTTTATGCATCAACACAAATCTGCACGTAAATCACAAGGTCAAGATTGAGAAGAACAGAAGAATGTAGACTAGAGGTCTACTCGTCCACAAACTAAGCAAACTTAAATTGACAACTTCCACATACCCAACCATGGAGTTAGTGGCAAATGCATCCAAGTCTTTAAGTGATGACTCATCCACTCGGTTCACATGGCCAGAATGCTCCAATGAAGGAAGTCCAGCATTGAGTGCAGATGAAGCAAAAACTGAGAGGATTGAGCACGTCTCACGAGTTAGATCTCGAAGAAGCTTTTCCTCCATTACTTCCACTTTCAAGTCTGAGCCATCAACTATGCCATGGAGATCAGGAACCTTTGCTCTACCTTCCTGTAAGAGACTAGACCATGAATAGCTAAGAGCTTGCTGAGAGTGGACAAGTAATGGGTGCAGGAGCTTTTCCAGCCATGCCTCCCACATATTGGCAGGGCAATTTTTGATCAATGGGATCAAGGCTAAATGAAGAAGCAGCCTTAAGTGCCTGAATTCCATATGTTGTATGTTCTCCATCAAGCTTAAAGCAACAGACGGAGAGTCTAAGCATTTGAACAAAGAATCCCCAATGGTTGCTGATAAGCCCAGTACATTGTACCTAAAGCCAAGAAAACTTCATTAACAAAACCAGAGCACTAAATGGAAACATGAAACTAATTCCCAAGACACAAGAGCATGGAGTAAAGGCATATATCACATGTAGAAATAGAGAGAGGCAGATCGCAGATCATAGTTTTAATAGCATACTAGAGTTTGCAGAGCATTAATGACAGATCTTATAGGCACTTTACAGACAATCAAGTGGGAAGTTAAATAGAGAAAGGAGAATTCTGGAAAACAAGACACTTCAATATATATATTCTAATTAGTACAGATACTAGTGCAGTTCAAGATGTCAATATTAATCTGCTAGCAAAAGATAATATAGCATCTACAATGTAAAATGACTAGAGATTGGCTTAAAATAATCCATACTAAGAATGCAGTGGCTTCCTAGAAAACCTAAAAAGATGTTACAAAACTTGCAAGGTAATCTTTTATTTATTTATTTATGTTCTTTCTCTTCTTTTTTTCCTGCTATTATGGAGAGGAACTGGAGATCAATCCATTTCCTGTTTCTCCCTCTCGTCTCCCTCCCTCTTTTTTTTTTTGTTGAGAAGGTAACATTTGTTGCATATATATTAATTGTATCAAAACAGGTATGGTTAACCATAATTACAAGGGGTGGTACAGGAAGATTCTTAAGTCCTTACAAGGATCCTAAAACATCAACAAAAGCTTTAAATGAGAATTGCCATGTCAACTAAGATAGAACTTCATGACAGCTTTGAAAAGATGATATTTTCATTATCTGTTTTAGAGATTCAGAAGAGCAGCAACATACCCACTATCTCTGATACCTTTCAGCCAGTTGCGGATATCAGCTTCATTTGGCTCTGCATAGCCTTCTCTATTCATATCTAAAGGAGATCCATCAGTAAAACTTAGAGCGCCTTTAGGCAATTTAACGTTACCTCCCCCGAAAAGACTGGCCCTTTCAACATCACTCATAGCCATTGCAGCTTTTATCTCTCCTGGTAATGCTTGATTAACAGGTGGAGACCAAAGCGAATGTATGGCACGGAGTAGCTGAAAATCAAAGACATTTACATATTTTAACAAATCTTTACTAAGGAAATGGGTGATGCAAAACAGTTCCTAAGAACTTGCTTACTTTAAGAAGAGGAGGAAGCATCCACGAGAGGTGAGATGCCATTGGATGCAAAAAGTCAGATGCTGGCATGGTTTGTACACTAGCATTGCCTTTCCTTAGACCACTCCGTTTAAGAGCCTTCTCAAAGAATGTAACTGTGTGGAAAATGGACCACATAAATGGTGTATCAGCACACAGTCGAATCAAACCTGTCGGATCAGAGAGATATGCATTTTGCCACTCAAGCTGTGTCCACTGTTTGCTCAATGGTTCAAGTAACCAGGCTAAAACTTCTAGCTGCTGCTGCGCCCTGCACCATTTTTGAGAACTCATAAAGGTCAAAGCCCATGATATACTAGACATACATTTGAAACCCATTAAGACCAGTAGCTACCCAGCAGCAGAAGCCATAATAAGGAATGCTTCACCCAAGAGATTGTGCTCCCCACGAAGTAGACGACCTTCCTTTTGTAAAAATGCCATAGTGTCAGCAATTCCCTGAAAAACAACAGAGAAAATGCAGTCACATTCCAAGGCAACCAAACAAACTCATGTCCAAATGTAAAAACCAACATCTCTCACAGTCAAAACAATGACTAATACAATCATAAAGTAGTCTTGTGTAGGTAAAAACTTAGTGCAAACATAATAACTACAAAGAACCAGGAATAGAAATTCACGTGCCATTCTGTACTTCCTAGAACCTGTCCCATTATGAAAGATGAAGACTATTCCCAAAACAGTCGGATCAATTTGGAAAATAGCTAATAATAC